TGACCAGGATGGTCTCGATCTCTTGACCTCGTGATCCACCCGCCTCGGCCTCCCAAAGTGCTGGGATTACAGGCTTGAGCCACTGCGCCCGGCGCAAGTTTCTTAAATATGACACCAATGCACAAGAAACAAAAGAAAAATTGTACTCCATCAAATTTGTTTTTTTGAGATTTGAGTCTCACTCTGTCACCCAGGCTGGAGTGCAATGGTGTGATTTCAGCTCACTGCAACCTCTGCCTCCCAGGTACAAGTGATTCTCCTGCCTCAGCCTCCCGAGTAGCTGGGATTATAGGCACCCACCACCACACCCAGCTAATTTTTGTATTTTTAGTAGAAACAGGGTTTCTCCAGGTTGGCCAGGCTGGTCTTGAACTCCTGACCTCAGGTGATCCACCCACCTCAGCCTCTCAAAGTGCTGGGATTACAGGCATAAACCACTGTGCCAGGCAATTTTTTTTTTAAATGGATGAGAGGTTTCTATGTTTCCCAGGCTGGCCTTGAATGCGTAGCCTCACTTCCTCATGTGCCAGGACAACAGGCCTGAGCCACTGTGGCTTACCAAAATAAAAATCTTATGCTTCACTTTTCACTAAGAAAGTGAAAAGACGCATCAGGCGTGGTGGCTGATCTGTAATCCCAGCACTCTGGGAGGCTGAGACGAATGGATCATCTAAGGGCAGGAGTTCAAGACCGGCCTGACTAATATAGCGAAACCCCGTCTCTACTAAAAAATACAAAAATGTGCTGGGGGCGATGGCGGGCACCTGTAATCCCAGCTACTCAGGAGGCTGTGGCAGAATTGCTTGAACCTGGGAGGTGGAGGCTGCAGTGAGCCGAGATTGCACCACTGCATTCCAGCCTGGGAGACAGAGCAAGACTCTGTCTCAAAAAAAAAGCAACTCATACATCTGATAAGGGTGTTATGTCTAGAATATATGAAAAACTCTTATAACTCAACAACAAAGAACACAATTTAAGAATGGACTAAAAAATAAATTAAAAAGAATGGACAAAGGACTTGAATAAATTTTTCTCTGAAGAAGATATACAAATGGCCAATAAGCACATAAAAAGGTGCTCAAGGCTGGGCATGATGGCTCACACCTTTAATCGCAGCACATAGGGAGGCTGAGGCAGGGGGATGACTTGAGGTCAGGAGTTCAAGACCAGCCCAGCCAAGATGTGAAACCCTGTATTTACTACAATTACAAAAAAATTAGCCAGGCCTGGTGGTGTGCACCTATAATCCTAACTACTCGGGAGGCTGAGGCAGGAGAATTGCTTGAGCCCAGGAGGTGGAGGTTGCAGTGAGCTGAGATTGCACCACTGCACTCCAGCCTGGGCAAGAGAACAAGACTACATTTCAAAAAAAAAAAAAAAAAAAAGAATTCAGCAGAGTTCAAATGGGTGGGGGAATTCAAGGAAAGATATGCTGGAAGCCAGGATGCTACTTTGATAACTAGTAACTATTAATTTTATAGTTACTTCATTATATTTTCACATTCAATTTGGCCATCACAACAATCCTGGAAGTCACTATTTGAAAGAGGTGGGTAAATACAGCCTTGGAGACATGGCTTGGCTTGGCCAATGCCAAGTAGCTACAAGTGGCAGGGCTGGGCCTCAACTTCCAGACTTCTGATTCCAGCTGCAGTGTTTTAGCTAGGAAAATAGTGTAGTCATTACGAGTTTTTTTTTTTTTTTTTTTTTTTTTTTGAGACGGAGTTTCGCTCATGTTACCCAGGCTGGAGTGCAATGGCGCGATCTCGGCTCACCGCAACCTC